CCTTCTGCTGTTTTGACACAATGTTGTCATCTACAAATTTCATGCTCAAGCACCATGTAATCCCCCTGCACCACACACACACTAAAAATCTCATAATATTTTAAGTAAGTCTACTGTTTTGTGTTCAGCCTCATTCATAGCTATCTTGGAGCACAGGCTTACCATAGGTTACAAGTTGGACATGCCTTGTGGGTATCTTTTGACTCTATTTTCCTGTGGTAGTTCATTGAGCTGTGGTGGTCATCTGACCTAGTCACAGTGAATCTGACACTTTGTCTACAACCTTTGATCCAAAAGTTTGGCCAATCAGATTCCATTATTTAGGAATATGTATTAAAAAGGGGCATTGGCACTGCTAAGGTCCTAATATGGAAGGTATCTGAATGGCTATGAAGAAGCTATGCCAATTGGAACTGTGGGGAAGCTTGAACTGAATAAAGAGACAATAGAGAAATGGTGTAGTCAGATAGGAATAAGTTCTTGAGGAAGAGGTCATGTGGTGTACACAACAGCCAGAGGAAGGAGTCTGTGCCTCAGTGGTTCCTGGCACTGATCTAGTTCTAGCTAAAGAGCAGTTGTATCAACCATGTGCTCTTTTAAAAGATAATCATGACTTCTATTTCTTGCTATAAGCAGATGCAGTTCTAACAAGAAAATCAAGCCAAGCTTCTTGGCTGCTGTTACAGGTGACCTGAGGTCAGTTTCCAGCACCTATGCCAGGTGGAGCTGGCGTTACAGATGCAGGTGTTGGGAAGTGCTCTTAGCTGCTGAACTGTATGTCCAGCCCAAGACCATTTTAATTAAATGGAAGTAACTACACAATAAGCAGAGTTGTCAAATCACATCTGCCCCCAGACATGCTAAGCCTCCCCATCACCAACATCCTGCATTGTACAGCTGTTTACTGTACACTCATGTTTAGTGCCAATTCCTATTCCATTTTCTGCATGTTCTGCAGTTTATTTATGCTCGCCTACAGAAGAACGTCTTGGCTGCTTCCACATTTTGATAGTAATGAGTAAAGATGCTGCAAGAATCTGGGTAGAACAGGTTTTTAGGTGGACATATGTTTTCAACTCATTTGAGTAAACACCAAGAACAGAGGGCTAGAACATATGCGGAGAATGTGCTTAGCCTCTTAAAGGTAAGATGCTGAAATGACTGTGGAGTTTGTGTCCCACCCTCTGAGGGGCGGGTTCTTGTTACTTACTACTCTGATTTGTGTTTGGTTTTGCCTTCACCCTTGATTTTAGCTATCCAAGTAGGTGTGCAGTGACCATCAATATTTCAGTGTGTGGTATATGTAGCTATATGTGTTCATGTGTGTGTGAGCCAATGTGTGTGAAGGTATATGTTCATGTGAAGGCCAAAGGTCAACCTCAGTGTCTTCCTTTATTAGTCTCCCCATTTTTTTTCAGGCACAATCTCTCACTGAACCTGGAACTTGCTGATTCTGTAAGGCCTGCTGGTCAGCAGGCCTCAGTGGCCCCTTTGTCTCCACCTGTACCACCACAAGCACTAGGGCCATTCTTGGTCAGTGTCTCACTCTACAGGCAGAACCTATCATGGGAAAAGAGAAGACAGAGGACACTGCCTTTGACAGGCCAATTTCCTCGGCCTATGTGAAGCTGGACAGCCTGATGCATATTGTTCATTCAAATGACAATTGGCGCTCTACCCTTGTAGAACCCTGTCCCACCCCAATCCAACGGCCAAAATCTCATTTACCTTTTACACCTGAATTAGCCTTCCCTGGGCAGTACAACAGCTTGTATTGGTTTCCCTTTTGGTTCCTTGACTGGTAAAAAGCTCTTATGTAAAAACTATATATATATATTCTTTGTTACAGCACATTAGTTGTGATTTTTACCACTGTAGACAATGGTCCTGGGATACCAGGGAAGGAAAAAAAGAAGAAAGGATAAAGGAAAGAAAAAAGAAGGAAGGAAGGAAGGAGAAAGAGAAAAAGCCAACAAAATTGTAATCACTCCCTGATTTATAGTGTCTGCCAATTTTTATACTATGTATTCCTTGGGTCTGGGAAAAGACGTTTAATGTCAGTTCTTAAGAGCAAGTCCAGTTAGCTCCAGCATATCACTGGAATGGGTAGTCTGGTGATGTGGGATGTCCTTCGGTATGCTGTGAATATGTTTTATTACCATTGGTTAATAAAGAAGCTGTTTTGGCCAATAGCCAGGCAGAATTGAACCAGGCAGGAAATCCAAGCAAAGACACAGGGAAAAGAGAAGGTGGAGTCTGAGAGTTGCCAGCACCCCCCGAAAGCAGGATTTGAAGTAACAAGCCATGAGCCTCATGGTAAAATATAGACTTATAGAAATGGGTTAATTTAGTTGTAAGATCTAGTTAATAGTAAGCCTGCAATAATAGACCAAACCATTTGTAATTAATATTAAGCCTCTGAGTGGTTATTTGGGAGCTGGTGGGTGGAGAGAATGCTCCGGCTACAGACTAGTCTTATGGTGTAGCTTTCATGCAGACTGTACAAGCATCAGGAAAGGGAGTCAGGGAGCCTGTCTTATCATTGCTGGTGATAGGTACCTACCTAGCCCTATGTTTGTCATATAGCCATGATATTTGCTTTATAGTATCTATAGTGTTGGTTTTTGGGAGATTACTCATCTCTCTCTGGACCAGTTTAGTGGGCTCTTTGGAGGTGCATACCTGAAAATGTCCTTTAACAATTGTAAAGTACAGAGCCCCTGGCCCCAAGAGAAGTCAGACTACCCAGTTAGATACAGAACAAGCACATACACTTTCTTTATTCTGGGAACAGGGATAGGGTCCCAAGGACTTCTATATCAACACCCCTCCACTCTTCCACTGGTTTGATTCTTGGGGTATGTGATGGTTGTCCACTTTATTGGATCTGGAATAAACTAAGATACATACCCCATGTAGGTGGGTCTGTGATGGTATTTCTAGGAAGGATAAACTGGGGGAATCACATTTCCAGTGGTATCTCATATATAAGGAGGTCTGACAGACAACTGATGACTTTGCCTGTCTGTCTTCACTTCTTGTTCATGAGTGCATCTACTCTATTACTGCTGCTATGGTAACCTTCTGCTGTCAGAACCAAGCTTCTTCAGTCTTCTAATATGGACTAAAACCCAGCAGCTCTCCAGGAATCCTCTAGACCTTCAGTGCTGCTGAGGAGTCTAGCCTCATAATTTGAGCATGATGGGATGCAGACAGCTATTTTTGGACACAACTCATATCGTGTGAGCCCATCTAAGAAGTTCCTTTTCATGATATATATTCATTCTATCTTTTCTTTGTTTATAGTGAGTTTTGACTAATAAAGATATAAGACTAGTAGTCAAATAAAATGCATCTATAATGGAGAATGTGCCTCAGGAGGTGTCATTGGTATAGAGATAGGTTGGCTACTTACTGCGATCATCTTGTGCCTAAAAACTTCACAGGCCTGAGTTAAGCTGTAGCTGTTGCCATATTTTATGACACTATGACTGTGAAGAGTGGCTAAAAGAAGTGAAGGTTTGATGTGAGGTCTTGGGGATGGCATGCACATACCATGTCAGTGCTGTGGGCAGGGGAAGAAAACCAGACATGAGTCTAGCAGAGGGCAACTGGCTGAAGTTCACTCCATCCTGCTCTGCTTTTATGGGTTTCAATTCCTGTTTGGCTCTGGCACAATGTTTTGGGCCTATACTAAGCAAGTTTCATGATTATTGCCAGATAACTAGACTTCAAAAGCAAGTCTGCAGGTGGCTTTACTGAAGGCCTTCTGAGGAAGACATGTTGGCATCCAATGGCTGCACTTTTGTTTCTGAGGCACACATGGAAGAAGACTGGGTAAAGTTTGTCACTCCTGACAATTGGCTGTTTTGGATACATAGTTCCAAAAGGGTGACCCTAGACGTTCTAGGAAGTGAGGTAGAAACAAAAGACTTTGGTTCTTACTAGTCATCTTGTAACATGAACTTGAAGGTCAGTAAGTTTTCCCTCTAGCTGAACCCTGAAGATTTTTTATGAACAAATCTCTCTCTTGTTCTACCTCTTCATATTTCCAGAGACCAGTTAGCTCAAGATGACCTCATCAAACATCCTTCCTATACAAGCTTCTCTGGATATTGTGTCAGCCGTCATGGTGGTTAATTTTAACTGTCCACTGGAGAAGCTCTAGAATCACCCTCACAGTGTGGGCCTGAACAGCAAGCGTACCCTTCCTTCCTTAAGTTGCTCTTGTTAGGCATTTTATCACAACAGTGAGAAAAAGCAACTAAGACAGTCACTTGAGTGTTATTGTACCTAAATCTGTGATGCTTACACTTGAAGTAACCCAGCAGAGGAACTCTTCCAGAGGCAACAGAATAAAACTAAGGCACGTTCATCTTGAGCCATCCGTCCCAATACAAACACAGGTGCAAGAAGGAGGTATTTCAAGACAATTGCATGAAACTATTTCATTTTGCTGAATAATAGTATGTCGTTCTCTCACTCCTGCATAGTTCAAACACACGGGCATCTCATCTTTTGAAAATTTGACGGTGTAGAACTGGAAAGCTGAAACTTCAGCTCAGAAGGAGTCTCTGCAACTTAAACCAAGTTTCTAAAAATGTGCCATGTTATATAATTCAGGGGAAGGCATGGAAAAGTACTAGCTGGTGTGGAACTGGAGGCCGTCCTGCCTCTGACTCACCCAGGCAAAAGCACTTGAATTAGGACGCAGCTCAGAAAAGCCAGACGAAGTCCATTCATCCTCCAGGATCTCACCCGTCCACTGTGGGGGAGTTAGATGCAAGGCTAGGAACATGCGGACAGTGGTCAGTTTTCAAAGTTTGCTCTTGTTCCTCTTGAGGCCAGCGTTGAGGGCTCCTCCAGTCCTTCCAGCTATCCAGTGCTGTCCTACTGTTTCTAATACCATCACAGCAGTGTGGGGAAGATGGCCGTCAACAGCCCATCTACTCTTGTGTGCTGTGGCCTTGGAACCTGTTCTGAGCTGCAAAGTGTTATTGTAAATTGAAAAGTTACACAGAAATGTGCTATTTTGTCAGCTGATCAAATGACACCTGTTTTGTATAGCTCTTGCATGTGCAGTTTTACATGTGCCAGTGTGCATGCGGAGGCCAGAGTTCAACCTGAGGTGTCATTCCCCAGGAGCCATACACTTTGTTTTGTTTTGAGCCTGAGTCTCTCACCTGCTTGGGGCTCACCAATAGGCCAGGCTGGGTTCAATGAGTCTCAGGGCTCCAACCGCCTCTGCCTCCCCAGTCTTGGAATTAGAAGAACACTCCACCATGATTAGCTGTTTATTCTTTTTTAATTTTTAATCATGTATAGATGTGTGTCTGTACAGGTGAGAGCAGGTGCCTATAGAAACCAGAAGAGGTCATCAAATCCCTTGAAGCTGGAGATACAGGCAGTTGTGAACTGCCTGATATATGTGCTAAGAACTGAATTCAGGTATGTGCTCTTAAACACTAAGCCACTCTCTCTAGCCCCCCCCTTTATAAAAAATGTGGATCCTGGGGATAAAGCTCAGGTCTGTATGTATGCAAGGCAAGCACCAAAGTGAGTTATCTGCAAACAGCACAGCTTTAAAAAAGTGATACCATAGCATCATGTTTTGATCATAGCTGTGTATGGAGTGATACAACTGTCACATGCGCCTGGCCTAGGGAGGAAGATGCTTTGGAGCAGTGGAGCTTTTAGCTCCATGTCCCTTTGGCTTGAGGTGGCTGTCCTCTTTCCTTAGATAACTGTTTGGGAACCTATCAGATGCTTCTACATGAATTTTCCCTTTAGTTAAGGCCCATGACTGCTCCAGGCGTCAGAGAAAATCTATTTGTGACCATGTGTATCTTCGAAGAAACAAATTTATCATTTTAAACACCCATGAAAGGAGGAGCTAAGGCATAGTTAGAGCATGGAGGACACTCGTGCTAGAGTGCAAGGCTGTGAGAAGCCTTAGGATGGGGTGGGGGTGGCGGGAACGCCTGGATTGTGGGGTATGGTGCATCGGATGTTCACTGATGCTGCACAGGAGTGTCCTACCTGGTAACATGGCCATGCAGGCAAGGGATGTGTGTGTGTGTGCATGTGTGCGTGAGTGAATGGGTGTGCATGCATGCGTGTATGTGTGTGTGTGTGTGTGTGTGTGTGTGTGTGTGTGTGGTTGCACTGGTATGGTTCCTTAGATACAATATATCCACCTTATTTCTTTGACAGGGTGTTGTACTGGCCTGGAACTTGCCAAGTAGCCTGCGTTGGCCCACTGAGTGAGCCCTACAGATGTGTCCGTCTCTGCCTCCCCAGCACTGGGATTACAAGCTCAGGAGACTGTGCCTGGGGTCCTGCCTCCAGGACTCTCCTCTTCACACAGGAAATGACCAAGCAGCCACAGTGTTTGTCTCATGGATGTATATAAGTTACTTTTCCTGCTCCTGTGTCCAAATAAACGGAAAAGGGCTCACAGTTTGGGGGTGACAGTCCATTACAGTTGGGAGGGCATGGGAACAGGAACATGAGATGACTCCCAAATGTGGGCATTACAGACCTGAGCTGCTATGCTACTCAAATGAATGTCAGTTTGTGTTCAGGGAAGTCCACGTGATTTGGGAGTGCTTTTTCTCTTTAAATGTTTGAGTCAGGGTTCTGCTACACAGCCCAAGTTGGCCTCCAGCTTACTGTGTTGCTCTGGATGGTCTCAAACTCTCAGTGGTCCTGCTGCCCAGCCTCCTAAGTGCTGGGATTACAAGTGAGCTTCTAGAATTCCTGAGCTGAAAGGGAACCAAGAATTCAGGGTCTAGTCCCTTATTTTCAGGGTAAGAAAACAGGAGTGGGTCTCCTCGAGGGAAACGGTCAATACAAGACTCTGACCTTGGACCTCCAAACCAGTGACGCTTTTACCCTGTCAAATACTACTCTGCCTTTCAAATGCCAATCTTCATGCCTCAATCCACTTCAAACATGAAGTCATTTTGGTGTCTGACCAATCCCTGAATGATCTCTGGCTCTATTGAAACTGGCCGTTAGCTACTGTTCCTTATCGTCTTTGCACTAGTAGTTAAAAAGGTATGAATCAGAAACTCTGGAAAGATCCCCCACCCTAGGATCTTACCTATGACAAACAAAATAAAAGGAAGTGCTTAGAATATGCCTATAGTTAAGCAATCACTCAGCTACCCAATGGCTCTTGTTTTGAATGAACTCTTTGTCGATTCTTTGTGGATTTCACACCATGCATCCTGACCCCACTCATTTCCCCATCCCTAGCTTCCACTCTCTGCCTTTGCAACCTCTCTTGAAAACAAAATTTAAAAGAAAAACAAAAACAAAAAAAACAAAAACAAAAAACCTCCCCCAAACAATCAAAAAAATCTCAGCATACAAGCTGTAGTGTGGCCCAGTGAGTCACACAGTGTCCCTTCAGTTCATATACATCGTTACTTGTAAGTGTTCATTGCAATGAGTCATTGGTTTGATTTGAGGCCTCTGGTTTCCGCTATACCCTCAGTACTGGGACTCCTCTTGGATATCCTGTTATTGTCTTGTGTCATGGAGATCCTGCAGTTTGGGGTCTGCAGGTCTGGCCCCTTCCTTCATGTGCTCATAGACGAGGTGGGTGTTGGGGTGGGCTACCTTGTAGTCCTGATTCTGTGCCCAGGTGGTAGTTGCCTTGGTCAGCCTGCCATCTTTCCCTCTTTGTCGCCACCTAGGTGAGCTCTTGAGCAGTGTTCCTAGATAGCTCACTCCATGTAACAGACAGCAAGGGGCGGGACCAATTCTCCTGTTCTCATCCCCCTGCGTCCAGCTCAACCTCAAGTCCCTAGGGCCAGGGCCAGCTCTACTGTTTTATCCAGGTGAGGTGCAGGGCCCACTCTCTGGATTGCTGCACTCAATGAGGGGCAGGGCCAGATCTTCCGTTTTCATGTCCTCAAGGTTGGCTCTCCTGCCTGATGCAGGGGGTAGGTCATGGGAGGGCATATTTCCCTTAGCCTTGCTGTGATGGCTCTTTTTGAAATGCATGCATGTGTGTGTGTTCATGCATGTGTGCATGTCCGTGTACATGTGTGTACATGTAGGCATGCTTGTGGAATTCTGAGGTTGGTGTTAGATATATTCCTCAATCTCTCTTCACTCTATCTATCTATCTATCTATCTATCTATCTATCTATCTATCTATATATCTATCTATTTGTGACAGAGTTTCTCTCTGATTTTGGCACTCGTCAATTTGCCTAGGCTGGCTGTTCAGCAAGCCCCAGTGTGTGCTGGGATTACAGATGGTTGCCACCTTGACTGGTTTTTTCCATGTGGGTTTTGGGGACACAAACTGAGCTCTTCATGCTTATACAGCAGGTACTTTACCCTCTTCCCATACCCCTTAATAGGCTTTTAACAGAATACATATGCTATAGTAAGAAAAGTAAAAGAACACCCAAGTTACTTTTATTTGCATGTATTTGTGTATGCCTGTGTGCGTGTATGTACAAGTGAATGTGAGGGGTCCCTTGGAGGTACACGTGCATGTGTGGGCATGCTTGTGGAAGCCTGAGGTTTCTGTCCAGCCAATCCCCAAATGATCTCTGGCCACAGTGAAGCTGGAGTTGGCTACTTCTCCTTGTTGTATTGCACCAGTTATAAAAAGGCTATGAGTCAGTGACTTGGGAAATATCCCCTACCTCAGGACCCCCTGGAGCTGGAGTTGCAGACAACTGTAAGCCATTGTATGTGGGTGTTGGTAACCCATGCCCATCTTGGGTCATCTGCAAGAATAGTACAAGCTCTGCATCTCTGAACCCATTGAGAATTGGGCAGTTTCTAATGAGATCCCAGTTCTTGCTGTGATCCAGTCAGTTTATAACAGGGATTTCATGATTTCAGTCAGCTATAGAGACATCTGATGAGTTTCTTTTGTTTTAAATACCTATAGACAATAGAAAGAAATTCATTCAGCACTTCCTGCTAGAAAATAGTAGGTGCCATTCAATGTTGCTATCTCTTTTATTCAAGTTTGGGTGAGTCATTCACAGCTAACACTATATTAAGTATTTGCTAAAATGAGCATAATGTTACATGGAAACAAATAACATTGTATTCACTCAGCCTCCCACACTGTATGTCCCAGATGGGCTTCAGGAGGCTGAGATGGGTTTGCATGTCTCAGATTTAGCCTGCTAACCCTCTCCAGAAGCTCTTGCCCCAAGTAGTTGAGATGACCTTCTTGTCTGTGTACATAGCAAATGCTCCAACATGGCTCTGGAATCTGATGGCCCTTTTAAGATCAAAATTAAAACATGCCCTGTAGGCTTGCGTGTCTACAGCCCAATCTTAGTGAAGCATTCTCTCAATTGAGGTTCCCTCCTCTTAGATGACTCTAGCTTGTGTCAAATTGACATAAAAACTAACCAGGACAATAAAACTCTAAATATCCACCATGCTGTGACAAATGACAAGATTCATGCATAAAAATAAACCAGCTAGGAATAGCACTTCCACAACAAGGAATGAAATCTATAAGGCAAAAGGGTACCTGACCCCCTCCCCCAGTTTATTGCAGTTTATCCCAGTTTGCTTTTCTGTCACTGAGATACACACCATGACCAAAAGCAACTTGTAGAAGAAAGTTTATTTCATTTTACAGTTATAAACTATGGTGAATGGAAGCCAAGGCAAGAACTCAAGCAGGAACCTGGCAGTCGGAACTGAAGCAGAGGTCACAGAGAAGGCATGGCTTGCTTGTCACACCTTGCTTAGTTTAACTTTTTCATACAGCCCAGGACCACCTGCAATGGACTAGACCTTCCCAGAAATATGCACTAGTATTGTAGGCTAATATGATGGAGGCATTTTCTCAACTGAGGCTCCCTCTTCCCAGATGACGGTATGTGTGTTGAAGTGACAAAACAAAAGGAAACACCCAGAACACAGTACCATTCACAAGAGCCATGATCATCCTATGGGGAGATGCATAAAGAAAATGTTGTCTATAGATACAGTGCATCTGCTGTTGGGGCACTAACAAGAGGTGTTGCTCAGCCTGTGCACTGACAGCCTGTGCACTGACAGCCTGTGCACTGACAGCTTGATTCCCAGAGGGAGGCCGCTGGGGCATCACCCAGGTGGCCAATTTCCAACTACTTATCACAGGGCCTCATGAGCCATTGAATTACAAGAAACTGGGAAGCTTGCTATGGTTGTGATGAGCCAGCCATCCGTGGTCTACTCTCTACCAGCAAAAAGATATGGTAACAATCTCTCTCTCCCTCTCTCTCTCTCTCTCTCTCTCTCTCTCTCTCTCTCTCTCTCTCTCACACACACACACACACACACACGCTTAGCATGTCTATGTTTCCTTGAGATATTAACATTTTCTAATGAGATCCCAAGTCTTGCCATGACTCCTGTGCATGCCTGTGTACTCTTAGGGTTCTCAGTTTTGAATTCCACAGATCCTGGGAATTTGGAAAGATGGAGTGATAACCTTTGAAAGTAGAGAGCTTTCTTCTGCCTACTCAGGATGACATAGAATTGCAGACCGAAGGCATTTCAGGGATCCAGCCTTCATTTTCTGGAGGTTACTAAGGCCTCTTGGAGGTTGACTGCTGCCCTTGATATAACTAATAACTACTGCCCAAGCAGACTCTGGAAGCCAGTTTTACCAAATTACCCATCATGCACCACTTCCCTTAATCCAAAGCCTCATGCAGCCTCATGTCAGTCAGAAAGCACAATGAACCTTGCATCTCATGTCCTGATCTATAAACACTGAGATATTCAAAGAAAAAAAGCATAATGAAGTTTTGTAAACATGCCTGTGTTACTTGGCCTTCTGGTGACGTAACAAGTCAGGAGACTGCTAGTTTAGGAAGAGAAAAGCTGTCTTACAGTTTTGAAGGTTAGTTGCTGTAGATAAAGTACCATATCATGGTATGAGCTCTGGTGGAGGAAGATTTCTCACGGCTAAAAGAGACAGAGGGAGAGGGAGAGGGAGAGGGAGACAGACAGAGACAGAGACAGAGACAGAGACAGAGAGATAGTTCTGCAATCCCTTCAAGGGTGCTCTCTCAGTGACCTAAAACCTCTCAGCAGGTTCTGTGGTATCTATAGCAGAGAAGTCTCTCCACGTCCTATTATGCCTACTGTAGGAGGAGTCATGGGCTAGAGAGTAAGTCCCTTCCAGATGGCATCCATAGCATTTCCCCAGCAGGTTGTAAGACTTTGATGACAAGCCTAGGAATCACCTGCTTCAGAGACATGCACTGGTCTTAGGAAGACAGTGAACACATTTTACATTATTGGGTGCATGCCTGAGAATCCATTGCCTCTGAACGGAATATAGTGTTTGGATATGGAAATGCTGAACCGAAGGATGTGCACATGGCTTATAGAGGACGCTGTAGCAAAATGACTCAGGCAGAATGTGGGAAGTGAAATAGCTGTGATGGGAGCTAGCTTTGGAAGCGCTTTTA